TATGATCAACCCTGCTGCCCAGAGGCTCAATGCAGGTCAACACGGTTAAACTCATGACCATAAAGCACACTTCCCATTTGCTTTTGCTATTTTGACGCCCAGACGCATGTGCACGCTGGGCAATGGGGAGGAAGCCTGGGGGAGAGACTCAGATTGCTCTGTGCAGAAGGCGTTCTCCAGAGAAAGACAGACACGTCTGCCCACAGACAGACAGGGATCTCCCGTGAATGTCTGAGAAGGGGCTGGATGGGTGTGGTGATGGACGCAGCTTCCTGGAGAAACAACTGGTCTATGGATGGAGGGTGGGAGGGAGGGACGGATGGAGACTGGAAACACGGGGAGGAAGTGGGGCAAGCCCGTTGGGCGGTGGGAATGGCGGCCAGCCTTATGAATCCTTGGGGGGAAAGCAGTCTACTTGGCCACCTTCCAGTCTTCAGGAGCGAGGATGCACTGGGACTGGGTCTCTGGGACTGCCATCTGCTAGTCCAGCAGTTCTCAACCTGGGGGTCGAACGACCCTTTCACAGGGTCACCCGATTTATCACAGTAGCAAACTTGCAGTGATGAAGTAACAACAAAAAATTAAATAATTAAATTAAAAATGAAGTAGCAACGACAATAGTTTTATGGTTGGGGGGGTCAACTATATTAAAGGGTCGCAGCATGAGGAAGGTTGAGAAGCACTGGGCTAGGCGGAGGACCAGATCCCGAAGAAGCACATCCTGTTTGATCAAGCAGAGGGTCAGCAAAAAAGAGCAAGCCCCTGAGGGAAGAGGAACTGAGCCGGTGGCAGCCCCCATGGGGTCCAACCTTGCCCGGACTGTGGGGTGTGTGTGCAGGACCGGGCAGTGTCGCCTTCAGTTGTGCAGAAGGTCACGAGGGGCTGGGCCTGTCAGGATGGTGCCTCCCAACAATAACAAACGGGAGCAGAAGGTGCCCACACCCCCTCCCCTCGATGGGACAGGCCCCAGGAGTTCCACAAAGACGGCTTTCCACTAGTCCTGTTCCCAGGCTTCCCCTCCAGATTTCACTCCCAGCCACCCACCCAGTGGGCGGCCCTTGGCCGAATTAGCATCACAAAGGACGAGACCATGTGAGGTGGGCTTGGGAATTAAAAGCCTGCCTTTGCAGCCTCCAGGAGAG